AACACATTTCATTACACCAAATACACCAAATAATGTTATTTTTAGCAACATCATATGACCCCTTTAACTAAAATCTCATTTAAATCATTTGTTAGATTTTAACACTTTCTTTAGAAAATGTGAGTGGTGCTTACCCATACACACCTCTGTGATGTTAATGTGTTCTTAGGTTGCTAGGCTGTGGTTGCTAGGGTGCTTTTGGTGGTTGCAATGGTGCTCTGGGTGGTTACTATGGTGTTCTAAGTGCTTACAGTGGTGTTCTAGGTGGTTGTTAGGGTGTTCTTATTGGCCACTAAGGTGTTTTAGGTGTTGCTAGGGTGTTCTAAGTGGTTGCTAGGGCGTTCTAGGTGGTTGCTAAAGTGTTCTTATTGGCCACTAAGGTGTTTTAGGTGTTGCTAGGGTGTTCTAAGTGGTTGCTAGGGCGTTCTAGGTGGTTGCTAAAGTGTTCTTATTGGCCACTAAGGTGTTTTAGGTGTTGCTAGGGTGTTCTAAGTGGTTGCTAGGGCGTTCTAGGTGGTTGCTAAAGTGTTCTTATTGGCCACTAAGGTGTTTTAGGTGTTGCTAGGGTGTTCTAAGTGGTTGCTAGGGCGTTCTAGGTGGTTGCTAAAGTGTTCTTATTGGCCACTAAGGTGTTTTAGGTGTTGCTAGGGTGTTCTAAGTGGTTGCTAGGGCGTTCTAGGTGGTTGCTAAAGTGTTCTTATTGGCCACTAAGGTGTTTTAGGTGTTGCTAGGGTGTTCTAAGTGGTTGCTAGGGCGTTCTAGGTGGTTGCTAAAGTGTTCTTATTGGCCACTAAGGTGTTTTAGGTGTTGCTAGGGTGTTCTAAGTGGTTGCTAGGGCGTTCTAGGTGGTTGCTAAAGTGTTCTTATTGGCCACTAAGGTGTTTTAGGTGTTGCTAGGGTGTTTTCTAAGTGGTTGCTAGGGTGTTCTAAGTGGTTGCTAGGGTGTTCTAGGTGGTTGCTAAAGTGTTCTTATTGGCCACTAAGGTGTTTTAGGTGTTGCTAGGGTGTTCTAAGTGGTTGCTACGGTGTTTAGGTGTTGCTAGGGTGTTCTAGGTGGTTGCTAGGGCATTTTAGTTGTTGCTAGGATATTCTAAGTGGTTGCTAGGGTATTCTAAGTGTTTGCTAGTATATACTAAGTGGTCACTAGGATGTTTCAGTGGTTGTTAGGGTGTTTTAGGTGGTTGCTAGGGCCACTAGGATGTTACAGGTGGTTGCTAGGGTCATCTCTTTTAACATGGGTAATGTACCTCCTTAATATCATCATTAAGCAATCTAATGGCCATTGTAAAATGCTGAGATGAGAGCGCTTCTCTATAGATCTCTCGTACTGCGTTTGTGTGTGTGTGCATGTTTATGCTTAACCCTCTGGGGTCCGAGGGTGTTTTGGGCCCTGGAGAAGTTTTGACATGTCCTGACATTTGTGCTTTTTTCAGTTGCTAATAAACATTTGAATGGCTAAGTTTAGAAGTAATTCTATGATGAAGCTTGACGTTTTATGCCATTTCTCAGGGGCGTGTACATGATTACCTGGCTCGCCTGAGTTCATTTCCATATGAACAGCGCTCAGAGCGGGGCGGGATCACATTAGCTATAATGAGGCGATACGGGAGAAACCGGACCACTCCTTACTTTAATACGGATTACATAAAAATAAATGATTTGTTTTCGACTTGAATTGGTTAATTTAAAAGTAGACATTTCAAGCTTTCTATACATATATTTATCTTGTCTTTGAGGCAAGTATTCGCTGAGATTCGGGTTGTTTTATTTATGTGTCTGTGAAGAGAGGTGACAGAGACAGAGATGGCAGAGAATGCAACCTGTTTATTTTCTTTACTCTACAAAAGCACAGCATTTTGTTGTTATTATGAGTGTATAAAAATAAAAGTAGACCCTTTACAGATTCGATTGATGTATTGCTCTTATCTGTACGATCAAAACTGAAAGTGTAATTTAAGTTCTTTTCGGCGTTATCAGGAGAAAATGCCACAAAACGCGTATCCGCGTTTGTCGACCACAAAGGGTTAATAATTTGTGTTATTCTGTTTAAAGCAGTCCCACAGCAGACTATTATGCTGGCACATGAATGAAGGAAGAGATTTTTCACTCACTCTGCTGTTTTTGCTGTGTTGCAGATCACGTCTCAGTTGGAGGCTTGGGGGACAGTTTCTATGAGTACCTGCTGAAGGCCTGGCTCATGTCAGACAAAACTGACGAGGAGGGAAAGAAGCTTTACTATGATGCCCTGCAGGTAAAGACCAATGTTACAGAAAGAGATGAAGCCCAGAGAAATGTTACACTCTACTGGCCATTTGATCAAATGCTGACTAGACAAGAGCATCCTTGACATCCTTGTTTTTGGAGGATGCTTGCTATCTAAAGTTACTTGTGTCCAGGGTTTATACCGGGGTTGAGTGAAATACTGAATTTGAGAATTGGGTCCCTTTCAGTTCATGAATGTGAATTCTAAATTGAATTGGCCACATCCCACAGGATGTGGAATTGGAATGACAGGAAGTGTAATTTACTGAATTGCAGTTCATGCAAAGATAAGACATATATTAGTCCAATAAAACAAAATTACATAATTAATTTTGACTAGTTATGCCTATTTATTTCCTGAATTGTAGAATACCTTTTTTAGGTATACGTTTTTCTGTTTTTATTCTAAACTTAGACCAGTACTGCACTAAAAACAGTTAATACACAAATGAATTTTAATTTTCACACACATTATTTTCAGATAACTAAAATAAACTTAAAAATTAAAGAAGTAAATCTGCTGAAGTTTGGCTCAATTTTAAAGAGTAAAGTAGTACATTCTAAGAAATTAATTGTTCCACCATAAAATCAAAGTTATTTTTTAAAAATAATAACAAAAAAAGTGCTTTATAGTTAATATACAATTCTATAGTTGTCATTTCAAACATTGATTAATGCATATATATATAATAATCTTTTATAATGTTTCTGGAAATACTCTATATGTTGTTTGATAACGTTTATGGGAATTCATACTAAAAAATGAAATGTATTGTTTGCAATTCTGCACCCTGTTTGCCCATTTAAATTCAGTTCTCAAGGTGTGGTTTTTTTTTATTTTTTATTTTTTTTGTCTCAGCAGATCGATCCAGGTTCACAATATTGTACATTGTACAGGCTGAATTTTTAACCTCACAGCTCATTTATCTTTCACAAATTAAATTTAATATCTAGTTAGACTAAAGTTTATGTATTAGAATAACATAAGTGGTTGTTCTGTAGGGTTGTATGTTTTATGCCCTCAAGTTTCAAGTGTCCAGTTGTTCCTGTGTGAATTTTGAACATTTTTGCATTGCAAATTTTAGTCTGTTGTTCAAGCTTGAACTGAAAATTTGTCCTCTGCAGGTTTTGAGTTTGTGAGTTGGAATTCGTCTTTATAGTGTCTGACTGTAGGAAAGTAAAGTGTGTGTGTGTGTGTGTGTGTGTAAGCTGCCATCAGCGTTGTTCTGCTGGAGCCGTCTGTGAGAGCTTTGGAAAGCTGGTGCAGACTGATTGTTACAGACCACAAACTCAATCCTCACTTTCATTAGAGAGGACCATCACAACCTGCCTAAGATAATGCTGTCCCTCTAGCTATCTGTCTGGGTGCCTCCCTGGAGTCACTCGAAAACACACACACACACACTTTGAACTCCAGGCCAATCATCCAGCTAAAGAAAAGTGCATTATGACGGTCACCTTCAGAGAACGGCCGTTCTGTCCACCTTTTTACCCAGGCATTCATTACCACTACAGAAAGCTCTTTTTCAGGCCTTTAACTCACTCTGTACTGCCTGATTTCACCTAATTTATCTCACTAACCATGGATAGGCTGCTCAATCACCTCCTTCCATCCACACCTCTCAGCTGTAGCATTCGATTATTTGCACCGTTGGGAAACATAAGGACGTTACGGCAATGACTGTTGACGAATCGCGGCAGATTGAGTTCAGTTTGTTAGAGCAGTGCTAAATACAAAAGTTTAAATTTTTGTTGCAAACATTGTTGGGGAAGCTGCTTTACAAGCTACAAACTGGCATTCAGGCAGTTGATTTCTTATATTATTTCCTATATTATGCTAAGCTTGAAAAAGTCTACCAATCCTCATTAATGTCATTTGAAAAAAAAGATTTTACATTTTAGAAATATTATTTAAATGATTTATAAATATTCATTATATATTCTACAATTATTTATATATAAATAATGTATATGTCTTGGTACTGTAGTTCTTTGAATTAATTTTTTTATTATTTAATTTATTTTTAATTGATGTTTTATTATTTAATATACTGCTGTAGTAATTATTACTATATCTTTTCAGTTTTAATTTAGTTACAAAAATGATTATTTTTAATTAACAACAACAGCACTGATTTAAATTTTTACTTACATTTTTACTTTCATTACTTTTTTAGTTATACAATTTATTTTTATGCAAAAACTTTGAGGTGAATCTGGACATTTTCACTTAAAAAAAAAAAATCTGGATTCAGAGACATTTTTTTCCATTTTTAAGGTTATAAGGCTTAGGCTTGCCAAACCCACCTTACAGTAGTGATGTATTTTTCCCTGTTCTGTTGCAGGAGAGTAGTTACTCCAGTAGCTGTGGTCTACTTTGGTTTCATGTATCATTCTGCACTCTTTTTCTTTTGGATAATAAAATAATTTGAACTCAAATCAATAGTTTTATGTCCATTGATATGTACATTGGCACAGTAGTAATACACAGGGTAATGCACTGTCTGTCATGATCGCAGTATAAACCCTTCAGAGTGATATAAGATCCAGAATCGAATGCTTGAATCAGAGAGCACATTCTAGGAGATGTTTGATTATTTACTCATCTTACTCTGTAATGCAGTTACACAAAACAAGCATCTATGCTGCTACTTGTTACCATAATCACTACATCAGTACATTATTGTATTCAAGATACTGAAAAAAGATATGCTAGTTCTGTTACTACTTTTAGTTTCTCCACAAAACTGGTGCCATGTTTATGATGAAATAGAAGAACAAAGAGAGTGATGTAAGAAAAAAAGAGAGAGTCAAACGCTTTACTTATTTTCTTATTTTCCTTTGGTACCATGGTGATGAACATCTCCAGTTTTCCATTCAAATGCACAGAGACCTTTTTCCAGACAGATAAGAATCTCATTTCCCATGTGTGCGATGCTTCTGTAAATACACAACGCTGGCACACAGCTGTGACCCTGATCTCTGCTATGATCTAACTTACTTCGGGCCGTGAACAGTTCGGATGACGCTTTTGAGAGAATGAAATCACTCTGAAGCCTTGAATTGTCTCTCTTTGTGTTAGGAAAACAAAACAAATGCAAACAAGGACAAAGTTCCTTTTAACCCACACAGTATGAATAACTACAGAGAGAAGAAATTGACATTAAAAACCATTTAAAGTGATCTCTTGTTTTCATTTTCTGTTCTGCGTGCAGGCGATTGAGAAGAATTTGATCCGTAAGTCAAGCGGAGGGTTGACATATATCGCTGAATGGAAAGGTGGACTCCTGGAGCATAAGATGGGTCACCTGACCTGCTTCGCCGGTGGTATGATCGCTTTAGGGACAGCTTATTTTTATTCATTTATTCGTTTAACAGACACTTTTATGCAAAAAATACTTACAAAACATTAGTAAAACAAGAAGTGATTTATCATGAGGCAATAACACAATAAAATTCACATTTATTTACTTCTATAAACATTACAGTAGTGACATTTTTGTGGAAAAATGTGAAAGCAAAATAGTGTATGTAAGTATTAAATATTAAAAATATTAAATTCATTATTAAATATTTGAATTATAGTTTTATACACTGTTTTTGCAGAACATTTTTGTGTTTGTCCAACATGCCTTAAATACAGAGAATGTGATGCATTTTTCCACATCTGTGCTGTTATGACATTTGTTGCTTTACTAGTCCAGTAGTTTGTTTTGCTGACTCTGTTCAGTGCTAGTATGATATAATAGAGTCTCTAGTGAGAATTATAAAGTGCTCACCCATAAGTGAGCTATTCTATCTATAATAGTCACATTGCCAATGTAGAGACTCCCTAAATCCATTGCTGTTAACCCTGAACGCGCGCACACACACACACTCAAATCCCTTATTAAACACACACATACACAGTCATCACCGGCCTGTTCATAATGCTTAGGTATTTTTAGGAGACACAGATTATCAGAGGTCCAGATTATGCCACAGCCCCTGATCCACATCCAATAATGTTTCTCTTCATCTCAGGAACAGTGTAATCCCATAATCCATTGTCAACATGGACGTTTAAGCGATGAATTTGACAGCATGTGTGTTTCAGGTATGAAGCTGGGTCCCGAGGCCTTCCGTTTCGACGGTGGCGTAGAAGCCATCGCCACACGGCAAAACGAGAAGTACTTCATCCTGAGGCCGGAGGTCATTGAGACGTACATGTACATGTGGAGGTTAACCCATGACCCCAAATACAGACAGTGGGGCTGGGAGGCGGTGCAGGTGAGAACTGTCGCGTGGATTTCACACATCACTTATTACGTAACGCCACCAGTATGTGACTGGTAAACACGTCGCCACTTTAGGCTCGGGATGTAGGCCAGACTGTGAGTCACAGCGAGGCATTGTCCATGCCCTCAGACGCTCGCTGAACTTCAGCACAGCAGGATTAGAGACAGTGGAGACCGCCAGGATCTCACAGCCTTGTAATTGTATCATAATGGCTTCAGATTGCCATTGTGATGTGTCTATCCCTTCAGGCGATACATCACATCTCTTCCACTCTCGCTCTCCCTCTGCCATCTATTCCTCTCTCATAAAAATGTGCTGGCTCAAAACTCACTCAGTGAAAGGCTTGACTCTTTGCTCCAAAAACTACTTTGTCAAATCTTCAGTATCTTAATGTCCATTTTTGCACTCTTCACAGCACCACAAGGCCAATAATTTTGATTATGCCACTTTTCGCAAATGGTGCACAAATTGCTGTCCCATTAGACACAAGTCCCATTTATGTTACTTTGTTAGATTTTATATTGGGCTAATTTTAAACAAATCAAATACCTTTTTTCTATTTAATTTTGATTGAAATTTTTTTTTTTTTTTTCAATGTTTGTGAAAGTCTATTATACTCCCCATTTATTAAAAAAGAAAAAAATCAAATGGCTGTTTTCATAACAATAATAGTTTTACTGCTTGATGGTTTTATGGAAACTGATTTTTTTTATTTTTTTATTCTTTGTTGAATAGAAAGTTAAAAAGAGCAGCATTTATTTGAAGTTAAAAAATATTAACTATATATATATATATATACATACAGTATATATATATATATATATATATAT